ATAACATTTCATATAGCATAGATAAATGGTGACAGATTAGGCAAAGAATATATATATTAGGTAAGGAATATATACATATGGTGGCATTAAATGTAGTGACAAGTGAGGAATATATATTTTATATATGGTCATATTAAATGTGGTGACAAGTTAGGTAAGGAAATATATATATGAGATGATATCAAATATGGTAACAAGTTCAGTAAGAAATATGTATATATGTGATAACAGGTAAGGTAAGATATACATATAGTGGTGACATTAAATGTGATGATAAATTAGGTACGGGAATATATATGTGACATAAAAATTTGTTGGTGAAATTTAATCTATTTAAAAAAAATGGTAAAGTGAAAAGAAAATAGAAAGTTTGAGAGTTAGAGAAAAGAGAAGTGACATCACTGTGCGGCAATGGAAATATTATCGAATCATCAATATAAATACGCCGCAACAGATAGATCGAATTTCATGATGATATGATGAATTCCATGATGATATATATTCGACATAGTATGGGAAAAATAAAAGTGAGAAAAGTGTGGTAAATGTAGTTGAAATTGTTCCTTCTTGTATTGAAATGATTTCTATATCTGTGATAATTGATAATGATAATGATGGTGATAATGATAAGAATAACAAATAGTAATGATGGAATAATGGATTATGAAATTTTCCATATAATAAAAATTAACAGAAAAACTATCGATTAGTTCTTTTTCCCTAATTTTTCTTTTATTCAGTTTTTTGAAAAATCAATATTAATTGAGAAGAAAGGAAACATTTAAATTAATCAATAAACAATACAATTTATCAACTGCTTAATCTATTTAAAAAATAGTGAAATTTCATCTGATAAAAAATAGCATATTTTTGTTTCGTTTATATTAATAATTGAATTGATTCATTATTTTGATTAAATCATCGCCAATGTATAGCCAGCCATCGCTAACCAGATGATATAACCAGATGAATGATTTATTGATGACGCTAATAACGATGATAATGATGATAATGATGGTGACGATAATAAGGATGAAAAAAATATTGATAATGAGGATAATGATGATAATGATCATGAGAATAATGATTAAAAAACATTAATGATGAGGATAATGATTAAGAAACATTAATCAATAGGACAATGATAAAAAAACATTACTGATGAGGATAATGATGAAAAAACATTAATGATGAGGATAATGATGAAAAAAAACGACATTAATGATGATGGTAATGAAAAACATTGAGGAATAAAATGGAATCGAATGAGGGGAGTGGAAAATAAACATTGAATTATTCAACAAAATCGTAAAAAGGGTGTCACGTGAAATGATCGAATAATCAATAATGAAATGGATAAACATGTTTGTTGGTTTATGCTTAAGCAATAATAGACAAAGATCAATTTTCCATCGTTATTATTTAGGAAAATACGAAGAAAAAAATATAGATAAACAAAATTAAAGATTATCATTTAAATAGGGATTAATTTCTTTGTTTGATTCTTTTTCTTTATTTAAATTTAAATTTTCGAGCTCTCTCCTGCTTGTTTGGTTTTGTAAAGAAGATCAATCAATCAATAATTTTCATTTTTTGATCAATCAATCAATCAAAATTTTCATTTTTAAGATCGATGGAATTTTTTGATCAATCAATCAATCAAAATTTTCATTTTTAAGATCGGTGGAATTTTTTGGTCAATCAGTCAATAGTTTTCATTTTTAAGATCAGTGGAATTTTTTGATCAATCAATCAATCAATCAATCAAAAATTTTCATTTTTAAGATCAGTGGAATTTTTTGATCAATCAATCAAGCAGTCAATAATTTTCGATTCATTTTTAAAATCATTTTTTAATCGAAAAAAAGTGAAGTTGATCCATTATTGAATTATTGAATGATACCATTTCATATTTTGATTCATTTAAATTATTCAATGATAGCATTTGAATTGAATGGAATGGAAAGGTGAAAAAAGGAAAATAATTTGCCATTGCAATCATGAGTCATTCATATAATTATGCAGAAATTATTTCAGTTGTTGTAAATTAAAAGTAAAAGTAAAAATTTCCGAAGCAATTATAATAACAGGTATGAGTAATTAACATAATATGTGTCGATTGCAATAATAAATAAATAAATGTAAAATTTGTACATTTTATTGAATGAATTAAAAAATGAAATAAAAAATGATCGAAATGAAATTTTATAAAAATTAATGAATTAATTGCAATTTCTGTTAAAACAAAATGACAGATTTTATCACAACTGTAGAAAATTTTCGATAAGAGCCTTTTTAAAAATGATATATATATATATAATTGATAATATTAAAAAAATTTATAGTAATTTAATATTTGAATATATTTTGAGAAGTGATACTATCTTCTTCTTCAAATTTATTTTTGACAAATTAAATTTTAGAATTAATTTTATAGTTTATCTTCTTAAATTTAACTTTAACTCTTAATTAATTTTTTTTTACGAAAATGAATGCCGTACGGTTAACTGAATATATTTTTCGATTTGCATTTACTGATTTCACATAAGCATTCGAAATTAAAAACATTATGTATGCACTTTCTTTCACCGATATATATGTATCGAAATATATTTCATTTATATTTAGTAATATCATGAACGATCAATAATAATGCAAATATATATATCTTATTTTTTAGCGGAATGAATGCCGTACTGTTAATTGAAGATATTTTCCGATTTACATTTACTGATTTTATTTATGCGTTCGAAATTAAAAGTATTATGTGTACGCTTTTTTTTCCGATATACATGTATCCCGAAATGCATTTCATTTATATTTAGTGATTTTATAAACGATCAATAATAAGTGACAATATATATATTTATATCGGTATTTTAATATCAACATTATCTATAACCATTTTAAAAAATTAAAACAAAAAATTGAGAAATTAAGAATTGTTCAGAAATATTTCAAAATTATACACATTCATAATATTTTAGGATAAAATGGTGGAAAGAAAAAAATTAAAAAATCTAATTTCAAAATTGATGAAATTTCTTTTTCAAAAGAAATCTATCGTAATAAAAATAGTAACAAATTTATTCTCAACTAATTTAATAATTAATTATGACAAGGAAAAATGAAATGAACTTCCACTTTTATTCTTTTATTTTAATTTGCAAAAATTCTTTTTGCGGCAAAAATTTGCAGCAAAAAATAATTAGCGAAAATAAAAATAATTATCCAATTTCAGTAAAAAAAAAAATTCTGCAACTTCTGTAATTTTAATTATCGATTACATTCATTCTATTTAATGAATTTTGAATTATTTTTCTGCAGACTTTTTTTCCTAAAATAAATTAAATTATATTAAATAAATTTTCAATTTTATTCTGCAAATTTTTTAGAATGAATTAAATTCCCAGTTTTATTCTACGGATTTTTAAGAATCAATTAAATTTTTAATTTCACCATGCAAATTATCTTAGGAATGAATTATATTTTCAAATTCATTCTGCAAGCTTTTTAGGAATGGATTAAATTTTCAATTTTACTCTGCAAGCTTTTTAGGAATGAATTAAATTTTCAATTTTGTTCTACAAATTTTTAAGAATGAATTAAATTTAAAAAATTTGCAGAATAAAATTGAATTGGCTAAATTTTTAATTTCATTCTGCAAATTCTTTAAGAATGAATTAAATTTTCAATTTTACTCTGCAAATTTTTAGGAATGAATTAAATTTCCAATTTCATTCTGCAAATTTTTCAAGAATGGATTAAATTTTCAATTTTTACTTTGCGAATTTTTTAAGAATGGATTAAATCATCAATCCAAATTTTTAGGAATGAATTACATTTTCAATTTCATTCTGCAAATTTTTTAAGAATGGATTAAATTTTCAATTTTTACTTTGCGAATTTTTTAAGAATGGATTAAATCATCAATCCAAATTTTTAGGAATGAATTATATTTTCAATTTCATTCTGCAAATTTTTCAAGAATGGATTAAATTTTCAATTTTTACTTTGCGAATTTTTTAAGAATGGATTAAATCATCAATCCAAATTTTTAGGAATGAATTATATTTTCAATTTCATTCTGCAAATTTTTTAAGAATGGATTAAATTTTCAATTCTACTCTGCAAATTTTTAGGAATGAATTAATTAAATCTTCAATTTTATTCTGCAAATTTTTTGCAATAATAAAAATATATGAGCCAATAAAGAAACATTTTGTTGTTTTAATAATACATTTGAATTTATCAATTTGCATATGGGAAGAAGAAAAACAACAACAACAACAATAACAGCAACGAAAATTGATATTATTTTGAAAATTCAAAAATTGCAAAAATAATTTAAATAATAATTATACATGCGCAAACGGAATAGGGAAACATTTGATTTATTTTGATGAAAATCATTCTTTTCTTTTAAAAAGAAAATTCAATAAAATGTGTATGTGGCAAACAACTTTACAGTAATACTTACAATATCTTCCTGAAATATTGGCCTATTTTCTCAATGTCATCCTGAAATATTGACTATTTTCCCAATATCATCCTGAAATGTTGACTTATTTCCTCAATATTATCCTGAAATATTGACTTATTTTCTCAATATCATCCTGAAATGTTGACTTATTTCCTCAACATTATCCCGAAATATTGACCTATTTTCTCGATGTCATCCTGAAATACTGACCTGTTTTCTCTTTTGTTTTATCTTTAATTCCGTTTTTCTGATTTTATATTCTTCTATAGCAGCAATATAATTTTATTTTATTCATTTTATTTTTCTCAACTATTTTTTCAAATTTTCTTTTCATTTTAAAATTAGATAATTTTATAACTTTTTTTAATATCCACAATCGTTTTTTCTTTTTAATGCACAAGCAATATATTATAAGAAAACATTGATTGTAATGAACAATCCTTAGAAAAGAACTGGTTCCGGAAGAATTGAACATTTAAGCGAATACAGGTAAAAAGAAATATGATGGTAATATATTTTAAAGAACAATTGGTATCTGCTGATCATTATTGGTTATCGTTGATTGATTATCATCATTTAAAATTGAATTAGCTGGTGATGGTAAACCACCGATACCCAATGCCTGATGAACAGCCTGAGCTGGAATATTACCGTATCGAGTTGGTTGTTGAGCATTAGTCTGAAATTCAAAAGAAAATTAAAAAAAAAACTGCATAAAAGAAAGTTTCAATCATAAATGAACGTTTGAATTAACAACAAAGGCTGTCATCTATTTTTTTCCGGTTTTTTCTTTTTTCTTTAAATGGCTTACGGAATTAATTAATCTTAAAGGTAATCAGATAACAGGAAACAAAAAAAATGGCAAGTAAGACAAAAAAGCACTTTTAGTTAAAATGATTAGTCAAAAAGTAACCTGACATGCTGTTGGCAAAGGTACCATTTCCAATTTTCCATTCTTATAATCAGCCACAAATTCGGCAACAATTTCAGCGCTCACATCCGGCTTCTCACAAATACACATCCGGCTAACTGTTGCATCCAAAATAACGATAAGTGGTAATTCCGCATTACTAAGTCCTAATCCTTCCAGGATAAAATCACATAACGGATCTTCACCCGTATAAAATATTTGTAATGGATCAACCCATGGTGGTACCGATAGATCGGATGAGATCGAGCTAAATTAATCAAAAATTTAAATTTTTTGAAGGAAATTCTAATTCTTACCACTTTTTATTAATATTATCATTAAAATGAAATTATAAATAATTATACCTGTTAAATTAGCCTTTAAGAATGTAATTTAAATATTTTAAATTAAATGAAAATATAAATTGATACCTATTTACTGAATTAGTAGAATATGTTAAATTATCTTTATCACTATTTCCATTATCATTAGCATTATTATCAGTATTATCAATTTCCTTTGATGTTGAATGCTTTATTGATTCTTGTCGTTCACGGAAAAGTGATTCAGCAGTTGCTCGTAATACTTCCATCGAAAAAGTAACATCATCCGGTGAACCTTCTATAAAAATCTCCTTATTTTTTTGTAATTAATAAAGTAAACAATTAATTTTGGGTGAGAAGAAAGTAAACAATTATTTGTTAATTGTTTAAAAATTATAAAAAGAAATTAAATAATTAAATTACCTGTAAATAATACTAATGATGGTTCATCTCTTAGCTGACATAATGTATTTTCATTCAATTCATATAATGGTAACGGTCCCCACGGAAATAAACTACCGCATGGATCATTAAGTAGTACATTACGGCCATGCCTTGTTATTAGTCGATTTTCCTCATTCAATAATAAAAATGCCGGAATACCTAAACATTTAATGATAATTGATTATTTAATGTTTTACATATTATTTTAATTAAAATATATTTTCAAATTTAAGTTAAAATCATAAAAAATTTTTTAAATCACATTTTTTTTTTGTTTATTCTTGTTTTTTTGGTTCATTCTTATCTTTTGTTTATTCTTATTTGTTTGTTTATTCATATTTTTTGTTTATTAACATTTTTTTTGTTTATCATTTTTTTTGTTTATTCATATTTTTTGTTTATTCTTATTTTTTTTCTATTCTTATTTTTTTGTTTATTGTTATTTTTTACTTATTCTTATTCTTCTGTTTATTCTTACCCTTTTGTTTGTTTATTTGTTTATTATTTAAACATTTATTATTTGTTTATTTGTTTGTTTATTCTTTTTTTCCTGTTTATTGAAAAAGAAAAATTCATTGATGAAATTAGAATGAAATTTTTAATGAAAGAATTAAATAAAATTTCATTCGATATTTAAATTATGAAAATGTTGCATATTTTATATGATTATGTTAATAGTTCCCTCTTTTACTATTAACTAAAAGATGAACAAAAATTTTTTTTTCAAAAATATTATTAATGCCTAGACGTACAAATACATCAACGTTACGTCAAATACGTCTTTTCTTGTTACGTATGATTAAGAATGTACACGTAAAAAATAAAATAAACATACCATTTACGCTGTATAAACGAGTTAGTTGAGTTGTTTTTTGTGGATCATATGGAAATGCTAGCCATGGCATTGTTGAAAAATGTTGCTCAAATGATTCTTGCGATCTAAAATATCATCTACTAATTAGTCGATTAATTAATTAAACATTTAATTTTGTGTTATTTGTCTTAACCATAATCTCCTCTCGCAATAAAATACAATTAAAACATTCCACATGAATATTCATCATCGTTATTTTTTGTTATTTTATTTGAACTCATAATATTGGAAATTAATTATCACTTATGAAAAATATTTTTATGTGAAATCTTTTATATGAAAGAAAAGGAAAAAAAATTATAACCTTACATATATATACATGTTTAGTTCATAAATTTAAATAGTTCAATTAAAAATACAAAAATTTACCAAACTATTGTAAATTCAAAAAATTACCAAATTACTGTAAATGCAAAAATTTACCAAATAATTACTGTAAATTAGAAATTTACTATTTTTTGTTTAAAAAATACAGTAAATTCATTCAATGAATTATTATTACTCATATAATTAATTAATTATTTTAAAGAAACCTCGCGAAAAAAGAAAATTCACCTATCCGATGAGCAAAAAAATATCTCAAACGGGATACCGGCATTTTTCAATGATACATAACAGGAAATCAATTGTTGCGTGAATGATCGACATGGTGGACACTAAAATAAACCATTCAAATATCAAAAATAAACTACAAATGATAAGAAGGCCAATTAATTAATTAATTAATTAGTTAAAAAAAGAAAAAGTAACACTCACTTACCCAATTGGCACCAAAATATAATCCTTTAACAGTTGATTTTAAATTTTGAAAATTTTCAGTTACTATTTTCTTGGTACCATCAACTTCTTTACAATTCCTTAATACAGCACCTTGAAAAAGCTCTTCTGGTGTCGCATTACACCTTCAACAAAATTATTTATTTCTTCGACAATTTTTTTTTTCTTTTGAAATATTCAAATTTCTTACTTTTGCTAATTTGCATAATAAAAAAAAGTTTTGCAAAACTCAAAATGCTGGACGAAAAGCTACGGAGATACTAAATTTAACGAATGGATATAGCATTTCTTTATTTTAAAAATTAAATTAATTAAAAAAGTTTTAGGTATAGATTAATTGGAAATGAAATTAATTTAATATCATAATACGTTTATAATAAATTTTAATACAAATTTATTTTAATTATAAAATTATATTAATACTAAAATGATTAAGAATTTCTTTTTAAATAAACAAATTAAATTTGAATGAATTTAAAATAATGAAATTAAATATAACTAATTAAATAGCATAATGCATTTTATAATAAATAGATTTTTAATACAAATTTATTTTTAATTTTAAAATTATATTAGTACTAAAATTATTATTAAGAATTTCTTTTTAAATAAACAAAATTAAATTTGAATAAATTCAAAACAATGAAATTAAATTTAAGGAAAATTAAATCACAATAATAATAAAACTATTAATTCAAAAAAAAGATGAAAAAAATTCAATATTACGAATTCCTATTTTTAAACAATCTTTTAAAACTTATTTTTCCTAATGGATTTTTTAATATAAATCAATTGCTTTATTATTTGAAAAAAATTATTTCTAATTTTAATTACAACTTATTTGAATACGTTTTATTTATATAATTAGCAGTCAGAATTTTTATAAAATCTTTAATAATCATTTTCATCGTTGAAGCGTTGTAAACTTCAACTGATGAAAATATTTCCAATAACTTAATTTTAGAATGATGAAAATTTCAAACAATAAGTTAATTTAAAACATACCAATGAAAATTCCTAATGTAACTTAACTTTAGAATAATAACTTCACTTAAAAGCATACTAATAAAAATTCCTAGTGCAAACTTTTAGTAAGTCAAAATTTCTAAAAAAATTTTACCACGGAAAATTTAAACCATTCGGATCATCTTGCAACAAACGCCGACCATCATCAGTGATAATTTGCCTACTTGATGCATCCAACACGATCAATGATGGCGTTGAACAATAATGTAATGCTCGTAATAAACGACTCTAAAAAAAAGGAAAAACAATTAAATTTAAATAAATTTAAAATGATAACAACAAATCTAAAAGAAAAACAATTAAATTAAAATAAATTTAAAATGATAAAAATTAAATTTGAGCAAAATAAAATTACAATGATAATGTAAATAATCAATTAGAAACTATAAGATAACGATATAAATTTGAATAAATTTAAAATGATAAAAATTAAATTTGAGCAAAATTAAATTACAATAATAATGTAAATAATCAATTAGTAACTATAAGATAACTATATAAATTTGAATAAATTTAAAATGATAAAAATTAAATTTGAGCAAAATTAAATTACAATGATAATGTATCACGATGATAATGTAAATAATCGATCAGTGACTATCAGATAACTATCAAAAAACTATCAGAAAATTAACTATCAGATAACTATCAGAGAAAGAATTTAATTTTACAAATTTCTACCTTTTAAATAATCAGTTAAAATTTTTACTTTTTTCAAATAAAATTAAAATTATAAAAAAAGTTTCGTATTTTTTCTCTTTATCCTTTCCCTCTCTCAATTCTCATCATTATATATAATTTCCTTTTTTCTCTTCTATCTTCTTCTCTTCATTCACCTCTCTCTCTCTCTCTCTCTCCCTCTCTTATATTTCATGATTTTCTTATTAACTCGTTAATTTTTAATAACATTGAAAATATTAATTCATTACGAACTTTAGCCATAATATTGATTGGTACAAGAATATACCATCCGGATTCACTGATAGCGGCAACATCCGATCGTTCATTATTATCATGAAGATCCAAATCAATGATTACAACATTTACATCATCCACTTCAATCACTCTTTTTTTTTTACTCTTTTTATTGCCACCAAAAAAACGACGTAATCGTGTTGAATTTCTGCAACAATAAAAGAAATGGAAGAAATTAGGCGAAAATTTTGACGATAGATTATAATGAAAGATCAAATTAATTAATAATTAATTTATTACTATAATTAATTTGTGGGATTATTTTTTAATTTTCATTATAATATTCAATTTAACAATTTGCAGCAAAAAAAAAGTAGAAGAAATTAGGCAAATAATTTCACGATAGGTCATAGTAGAAAATTAAATTAATTATAATTAATTACTATAATTAATTTGTGGGATTATTTTTTAATTTTCATTATTTTACTTATCTTTAAATATTTAATTTAACAATCTGCAAAAAAAAAGCATGAAAAAAATGGAAGAAATTAAATTAGGCGAAAAATTTTATGATAGGTCAGAGCGGAAGGTCAAATTAATTATAATTAATTTATTACCATAATTAATTTGTGGGATTATTTTTTAATTTTCATTATAATATTCAATTTAACAATTTGCAACAAAAAAAACAAAAAAAAAATGGACGAAATTAGCCGAAAAATTTTATGTAAATTTTAACAATGCTCGATAGATCATAATAGAAGGTCAAATTAATTATAAATAATTTATTAAGATCAAATTAATAATAAATGATTTATTAAGTATCACATCAATATTTGCTAAATTGAATATTTTAAAAAAAAATTAGAAGGTTAAATTAATTATGAATGATTTATTAAGGCCAAATTAATTATAAGTAATTTATTATTACAATATTAATATAAATGGTCATTTTTTAATTATCATTATTTTATTTATTTTTAAATATACAATTCAATGAATATTGATTTCAATTGATTTAGCAAACGAATCACTGATATGATCCAATCACTGATATGATAAATATATTGCAAAACTTTTTTCCTCTCTTTCATTCATCTATGAATTTTTGTTCATTTCTCTACGAGTAATATAAATTGATTAACTGATATTTAATTGTTTCGTTAGGTTACTGTAATTTAATTGACAGAATTTCAAAAAAAACATATAACGAAAAGAAATTATTTCCTCTCATTGAAAGCTATTGATTTTGAATAATAATTCACTTGGAATTTAAATAATTTAAATAATAATTCAATTGGAATTTAAATAAATAAAATAATAATTTATTTGGAATTTAAATAATCAAAATAATAATTCATTTGGAACTTAAATAACTAAAATAATAATTCATTTGAAATTTAAATAATTAAAATAATTCATTTGGAATTTAAATAATCTAAATAGCAATTCATTCGAAATTTAAATAATAATTCATTTGAAATTTAAATAATTAAAATAATTCATTTGGAATTTAAATAATCTAAATAGTAATTCACTCGAAATTTAAATAATAATTCATTTGGAACTTAAATAATTAAAATAATTCAACTGAAATTTAAATAACTAAAATAATTCATTTGGAATTTAAATAATCTAAATAGTAATTCACTCGAAATTTAAATAATAATTCATTTGGAATTTAAATAATCTAAATAGTAATTCACTCGAAATTTAAATAATAATTCATTTGTTTCATTTCATTCTTTGCATTCAAAATGAAAAGAAAATATTACAATAAATAATTTCTATAAAAGTTGCAAATTAAAATTATAAATACTATAATTTAATTATAGCAAAAACTTTTAATTACTATAAATAATTTCTGCGAAAAGAAAATTTGCAAATTTAAATTATAAAAGTTATCATAATTGCTATAATTTTGCGCAAATTTAAATTTGAAATTTGAAAGCTTTTTAAGATCTAAACAATTAACTTCAATTATTAATTATTTCTTTAATTTATAGTAATTAAGAAAAAAAAAATAAAATCTTTTATTTCTATTCTCATGCCGATAATACAATTTGAAAAGGAAATGGATTGTTTAAAAGAAAGTGAAATAAAATGAAAAGAAATTGGATGAAAGAGAGAGAGAGAGAGAGAGATAAAGAGAAAGGAAATGAATAAGATATTAGTGAGAGATAAGAGTTGTCAGTAAATGGTATTGGAAAAATTAGGTTACAGAATGGGAATAATCAAAGAGAGACCGCAAAATGAGACCTTTAGCCTGAAAGGTCAACGGAATGAATGACCATGTGGAAAAACAAGGGAAAAAAAATAATTGAAAGAAGAATATTTCTTTGTTAAGTGAGCATATACAGCGGTATGATATATATATATATATCATAAAGCATGCCATGTTAATTAGTAAATTAATTGAGTTCAGATTTCAGATTACAAATTTAGAGCCACACAAATAAGAAATGGTTATTATAGAATGAATAGATTTAATATGGAAGTTTAAATAATTATACCGATGAGTAAATAATAAAAGTTTTAATGGTTGATAAGTAAATCATTGTATTGATAAGTAAGTAATTTGACTTTTAGATTTTTCGGATTACAAATTTAAAACAATACAAATAAGAAAATGGTTAATGCAAAATGAATAGATATAATATGGAAGTTTAAATATTTATAATAATTATAGCGATAAGTAAATAACATAAAAGTTTCAATAGTTGATAAGTAAATCATTATATTGATAAGTAAGTAATTTGACTTTCAGATTTTTTAGATTACAAATTTAAAACAATACAAATAAGAAAATGGTAAATGTAAAATGAACAAATATAATAAAGAAGTTTAAATAATTGCAATAATTATAGTGATCAGTAAATAACATAAGAGTTTTAACAGTTGATAATAAATCATTATCATTATTGATCAGTAAATAAGTAATTTGACTTATTTTTTTAAACAGTTTAACATTTATTTACATTAATAAATGAATAATTCATTAAAATTTTCGATATTTGATCTTTGAACCTATAAAGAAATCAATAAAATCATCTAACAAAGATAGCAATATGAAAAGTTTCAATTAAATGAAATTATCTGAACTGAAAAATTGAAATGTATGATAGATGGAAAGGCTGTGAAACCTTTACGATTTTATTTTGCAACAATTTCATAATTTAAAATGGTACTTTTAAAATGAAGCAAAAATTTACTCTTTTGGATAATTGGAGAAAATATTGTTTCGTTGTTGAACAAGCTTTTTAAGCGATGAAATCGGTTCCAACGATCGTGTACAGCTAGAATTAATCAAATAAAAAATAACATGTCGAGAACTTGCAAATACCACATCCAATGTTGTCAGTTCATTTTGATCATCGTTACCACCTGAAATTAATGGAAAAAAAATTATTCAAATTTGATTAAATAAATCTTAATGTTATAGTGATAATTTATGTGCATCATCATTTGATAGCATGATAGTTGAAATTTAATTGAAAAATAAAAATTGATTGCAATTTTGAGTTAACAGAAATTAACTTTTAATTTTGGTATAACAATAAGTGCTGATGAAATATGAAATATCATATCATTAAAATAAGAACACATTTAATGTAAATTTCAAAATTGTAAGTTTGTAAAATTGTGAAGTAAAAAATGAAAATTATACTACAATGAGAAAAGTATTAAGAAATTGATATTTTTCACGATATTGTTTTATTTCAAATTTAAATGTAAGAAAAGGTAGAATAAAATTTAAATGTAGAAAAGGTGGAATAAAATTTAAGTGTAAGAAAAGGTAGAATAAAATTTAAATGTAGAAAAGGTGGAATAAAATTTAAGTGTAAGAAAAGGTAGAATAAAATTTAAATGTAGAAAAGGTGGAATAAAATTTAAGTGTAAGAAAAGGTAGAATAAAATTTAAATGTAGAAAAGGTGGAATAAAATTTAAGTGTAAGAAAAGGTAGAATAAAATTTAAATGTAGAAAAGGTGGAATAAAATTTAAGTGTAAGAAAAGGTGGATTAAAATTTAAACGTAAAAAGAGATGGAAATAATTTTAATAAATTCTCCTGCAAAGATCTAACCGATATGCAAACATTCCAATGCCTATATGGAATTAATAAGAACAGAATATGTCTTAATAATTTCAAAACAAAAAAATTAGAAGAATTAAATTATAGGAACAATTGAGAATATACTCAATTGTTAAAATAAAATTTTGATTATTAAAATGAATTATAGATTTTCAAAAAATTTCCTTTTTTCTTTCTATCACAAGAAAATAATTCCAAAAAATGATTTGCAAAAATAAAATTAAATCAAACAAAGGTAATTTGAAAAATTGAAATTTCATGAAATGATTTTTCTTCCTTTTCTTTATTTGTAAAAATATTTGTTATCTTAGCAGATATAATTTTCCTATTTCAAAATTCTACCAATTGATAATTAATCATTTTAAAACAAAATTATTCAAATTAAGTAATTCCCAAAAAAAAAAAAAAAATAAGCAATTCCACAAAAAAGCTTTGTAAAAATAAAATTTGTTTAAAACAAAGATAATTTGAAAAGTTCAAATTTTCTGGAATGATTTTTCTTTCTTTCGTTTTATTTGTAAATATTTATTATTCTAGCAAATATAATTTCTCCTATTTCAAAATTCTACTCTTTCAATTTTTGATAATCATTTTTACTTTATTATTTTACAACATCTAATCATTTTCATCAAATGGCTTTTCTTTCTTACTCTTTTTTTTTTCTGCAAAAATTTAATCATTTCTTTTGTTATTTTATTTTGAAATTTAATTAATTATTTAATTACTACCATTTGCAAAATTTAATTACTTTCATTTATTTCTTCATTAGCATTTCTAATTATTTTCACTTTTCGTTTCTCTTCAAAAATTTCAATAAAAAAAAGACGAAATAACCTTTAGCGGAAGTTGAAGATGGAATGAGATGTATCACACCGATATTTCGGAAGCAATAATCGTAAAGATCTTCGAATGACATAACGAATTGAGCGAATATTTTTAAATGAAATAGCTGATGAAATTGTCTGTCAGCTTTCAAATGATTTAAGAGTGTATGATCGTCCAAAACCGAATTGATGAATTTGTTGTTGTATATATATATATATATATATATGTGTGTGTGTGTGTGTGTGTGTGTGTGTGTGTGTGTGTGTGTGTGTGTTATCCGCTGCTTATCAACAACAATTCAATAAATACAACTGTCAAACTAAAATGATCGTTTATATTATCAATTTATCGCACAGAAGCGTTGTCAAATCATTCACGCTATTAAATAATAAATGATTAGCTAAATGATATTAGCTAATCATTGATATAGCTGTCATTAATCGTTTTTCTATTTTATACAAACAACAATTTAATATATTTGTAAATAAAATGGCTACGAAATATATTAAATTTTATGAAAATATCAAATCATTAATGCTATTTCATGATAAATGTTTAGCTAAATGATATAGCTATCATTAATCTTTTTCAATTTTATACAAACAACAATTAAATATTTAAATATATATATATATGAAACGGCTTAAGAAATGTATTAAATTTTCTAAAAATAAATCATTCATGTTATTTAATGATAAATGATTGGTTAGTGATATAGCTGTCACTAATTTTTTTCAATTAAACAATTAAATAAATATGTATATATATATGAAATGGCTAAGAAATGTATGTATGAAATAGCTCAAGAAATGTATTAAATTTTCAAAAAATTAATCATTCATGTTATTTAATGATAAATGATTGGTTAATAATATAGCTGTCACTAATTTTTTTTTTCAATTAAACAATTAAATATATATATGAAATGGCTAAGAAATATATGCATGAAATGGCACAAGAAATGTATTAAATTTTATGAAAACAAATCATTCATGCCATTTAATACCGACATTGATATACTGATATATTTTATTTTATATGATTACTAAAATAACGGCATAGCTAATAAGGAAGAAAATCAAAATAAAATATATCAGTATATTAAAGCTTATAGCAGATAAGATGACTATTTCAGAATTGATTCAAGAAGATTTTAATAAATAAGAGAGAGAGAGAAAGAGAGAGAGGGAAATTAAAATCATTTCACTATAAAATTCCTAAACTTTCAAATTTCCGAAAACAGAAAAACGAAAGATGAAAGATCCAACATTAGGTGCTATATCGGATACTTTTTCAATACCGGAATAATGAATCATTCTAAACTTTCAAATTTCCGAAAACAAAATAAAAAGAAGGATCCGACATTCGGTGCTACATCGGATATTTTTTCAATACCGGAATGATGAATCATTCATTTCACTATAAAATTGCTAAACTTTTGAATTTCCGGAAAAAAAAGAAGGATCCGACATTCGGTGCTATATCGGATACTTTTTCAATACCGAAACGATGAATCATAAAATGTGTTTTTCAAATTATATCATTTCATTTCTTTACATTTGCTTACAAATTACTTCTTTAAAATTTGCTATTATCAAATTGGAAAAGATTGAAACAAAAAAAAAAATTGTATTAATAATTATTAATTAAATTAAACAAAAGAAAAGAATTGTATTTTTTAAAAATTTAACAAATAATAATAAAAAAAGAATTTTCAATTTTGGAAAATAATTTGATAAATTAATGAAATAATTAAGGATTTTCGGAGGAAAAACAAAGACCTAAAATTTTTCGTTTTAATTTGAAAAAATTGCAACAAAAAAACAATTAAAATAATTAAAAAAACAATAGAAATAATAAAATTGAAATTAAATTTAAATAATATAAAATAAAACTAAAATATGAACAAAAATATGATGTAATTTTTTAAGAAAAAAAGGCTACAAATTTTGACAAAGAATGAAACAGAGATAGCGAAATAAATCAATAGAAGGAGGTAAAGAGAAAGAAAGAAAGAGAGAGGTAAAGGGAGGGAGAGAGAGACAAAAAGAGAGAGGTAAAAAGAAGGAGAGAGAGAAAAAGAGAGAAAGAGGGAATCTCTAAGAAAATGAGCAAAAAAAGCTTTTCAAAAACAATCAGCAAAATAGATGGAGACAATAATTATCTATTCGATTCACAGCACTTTTTCATACACAGAGAGAGAGAGAGAGAGAGAGAGAGAGAGGGAGAGGGAGAGAGAGAATTTTAGATTGAATGAATGAATGGCGCAAATATTCATTTCACATCCATTTCAGTCTTTTAGGAATGAAATCATCGCATTTGCATTTTTGTTATTTGATCTTTTTTTTTTGTGATCTAATTGGTGATAAAATGATATTGATGATATGATATGGATTGATTAAAATGATATGGATATTGATGATAAAGTATTTCAATGGATATATTGATGATAAGATAACATGAATGAAAGATAATAATGCTATATTATTATAATTTAACTTAGAAAGAGATTTTCATATTCTTTTTTCATTCATTTATTTGATCTTTTTTGACGATCTAATTGATGATAAAATGATATTGGTGATAAGATAACATGAATGGAAGATAATAATGCTATATTATTATAATTTTGCCTAAGAAAAGTACGAAAGATTAAATTTCTAGCGTTAAAATTACAAACAAATAATACAAATTATCATTTATCAATTATCATTTATTATCAAATTATCATTTATTCATTTATTAAATTTTTTTATCATTTGGCTATACATCGCAAATTTCCATACCATTATCATATTATCATATCACATACCATTATCATTATCATACCATTATCATTAATCCAAACTTTATAATATCATTATACCATATTTTAAAAGTAAATTTACTTTTAACATATGATATAATGATATTATAACATATGATATAATGATATGATAAAGTTTGGATTAATTAGAACAATGATAAATTTAAAAAGTTAACACTGGAGGTGAGCAATTTCATAATAATAGCAGTAAGATCTCTCATCATCAATAAATGGTAATATTAAGTTAGATTTCGAAAATTTTAAACTTTGAATTCAAATTTTGTTAAGTTAAATTTCGAGGAAATTTATTGTCAATTTCAAAAATAAATGCCTGAAATTGTGAAAATAAAGAGTTGAAATTTGATGGAACATAAAAATTAAGCGAAAAGATAGGCCTGTCATTCGATATATGATGCCATATCATATATCAAATACGACCTTCATTAATTCATCACAATAGAAATAATGAAAATTGGCTTTGCAATAAGCCTCACAAATAGCTAGTCGTTCAATCATTAGGTTTAAATTAACCTATCATTTGATTAGTTTTTAAAGCTTTTAGCTTTACTTCTTTTTTCCATCTTTCCAATCGAATATTATTTTGTTGTCCTGTTATTGCCCATATCACTCATTCCAACTTAATCGTAATATCAATCGTTTTAGAGAATGATTTTTGATTAAGTAAGAAGATGAAAATTTCAAAAAATTACACAAAATCACGAGGAAATCTCCAGCATATATAGAAAATCACGTAGAAATCTCTAGCATATACGGAAAATCATGTAGGAATCTCTAGCATATATAGAAAATCACGTAGGAATCTCTAGCATATACGGAAAATCACGTAGGAATCTCTAGCATATATATATATAGAGAAAATCCTGTAGGAATCTCAACATATACAGAAAATCATGTAGGCATCTCTAGCATGTACAGAAAATCACGTAGGAATATCTAGCATATACAGAAAATCACGTAAGCATCTCTAGCATATACGGAAAATCACGTAGGAATCTACGGCATATGCAAAAATCAAATAAGAATCGATAACAATACATACGTCCGACATTCTGCAAACCATTTATCCAACTATGTTTTTCCTTCGATGAAAGGAAAATATTTCATCTAATAGAACAAACACCGATAAACAGACAAATCGAATGCAACGAGAAAATTAAAGTGCGCGGGAGAGATTGCAGGTGTAGAAAAAAGTGAAAGCGGGGAGCGGGAGGAGCGGGAAGTGAAAAAAGTGAAAAGAGCATTCTTGTAAGCAAATCAACCAATATCAAACATCTCAAATATAATACATTTATATATTTATATTTATGCAAATAGCTATTCAACCAAAATGGAGAAGTGTTCCATCTTGGTTGAATAGCTATTTGCATTTTACCCTTTAATCACGTCCCCATCTTCTTCCACGATGAATTTTAGGTTGAAAAAGATTTGCAATTTTAAATTAATTTCATTCTCTTAAAATGGGGTCAGTTTTTGCCTATTCTCTGTACAATCTATAAATTCAAAAAAGAAAAACGGTAAGAAAGAGAAAAGGAAGGAATAAAGAAAGAAAGAAAGAAAGAAAGAAAGAGAAAAGGAAGGAATAAAATTGAACAAGCATTAATTAAATAAATTTGAATTTCTCACTTTATCATTCTTTCTTCCCTGAAATTTAACTAATAATTTAATTAGCTAGAAAATCGATAAAAATAATTTAAGGAAATAGACGGAAGATATTGGAAGAATATTAATGAATATGACTATTTCAATAATGTTTGGAATAATTTATAATGGAATTTTGTTGAACAGAATAATTTGTAATCGGTAATTTATTAGGAAATATTAAATTGTGTTAATTTATTAAAATTTATTTTATAGATGTATAACATGAATGTTTATGTATCTTTTCGATAAAATTTATTTCAGTATTATTCGGAAAATTTTCATGAAGCGATCGATAAGTGAAAAAAAAAACAGATGGTGATAGATTAGAATTATAAATTACTAATTGGATACAGCAATTATTACCAAATAAGACAGGAAAAATATTAATAGGAATAAATTCAATATATTTTCGAATTTCTAGTAATTCTAATTTGAAGAGATATTTCTTATTTTTATTATAAACATGTATGAAATTTTCTAGTAGTAATGATACTGATATATTGTTATTAATTAATTAATGAATTAATTGGTCAATAACGACAATACCAAATGATTAATTTATCAATCAAAATGTAAATTAGCTGAAATTCTTATTTACTAATCCTTATAATTGATTTCTGATT